CTTTCATTTTGGTAAATATACCTGTTAAAATTAAATGTCAGCTTTATTTTCATTTTTTGCATAATTTAGACGACAATTTATCCATCGCACACGTGTGTGTAGATATACCCATCGCACACTTGTGTGTGTGTGTATATATATATATATATATATATATATATATATATAAAACACATTAATTTTAACTAAAACATTCAAAATTTTATCAGCTCATCAATTTTACGTCATTAACAGGCTTATTTTTAAACTACTTACGTCGTCAAAAATATTTTTTATGCAGAAAAAAAAATGCGGTCTGTAAGTAAACTTAGTTCACAAGAAAAAAATGCCAAGAATTGTGTATAAAAACAACTTGATACTCCGAATACAGATTTGTAGTTTGTAAATTATCTTAATTTATTGTGAACACACACACACATCACATGTATCACTTTATACGTTATCCTCAGTGGATAATGATACGGACCGTTTGCTCAAATATGATTATCATTTATCGTTTATTAAAGGGCATATTTATTTATTTTCGTCTACCTGCCTGAATATTCGAGGCATCTTATTAAATAAAAACATGCACCCTCCAGGAGGATTAGAACCTGCGCCCCTCACTAACTGGCAGAGGGAACCGTCGTTAGATTCGACGTACTTTAGATTGACTCGGCCACGGAGAACTTTTGCCGACCAAGGCTAGTAGACAAAAATAAATATATTGTTTATTAAATAAACGGAACCTCTACTCAAATAGTAGTATCCGTGATAAATAACGTTTAATGAGTTCAATTCTGCCGGATTAATAAATAAAAAAAATCCATTACTTCTTTAGGAATTGCTTTGTTTAAGTTTGGATACGAAAGTCAGCAGATATGAATATTTCAAGAAACTATGACAAGAAGGATTTCGCTTAAAGGCTCTATTCAACATACACACATACACACACATACACAGAGGGCAATAGAGAGAGAGAGAGAGAGAGAGGGGAGAGAGAGAGAGGGCGATATATATATAGAGAGCATATTTCTCGGATATTCAGGCCGCTAGACGGAAATAAATAAATATACTGCTTAATTAATAAACATAAAATTAATAAAAATATGAAAATCCACTAAAAAATAACATTAAAATAGAGTTTACGCTAGATGGCGCACTGTTGCCATTTAGACTTGGTTACATTTGTCATTCGTGTACATTTGTGAGTGGTCTATCTTCAACGTTTAACGTGTGCAGTAGTGAGTTAACTGAGAAGTTCCCCGAATATTCATATCGTGAACAGGATTTTTACATAGGGTTGCGGGAATTGTAATAACCGCGAGGCCGCCGCATATTCAGATTGCGTTTTCAGACCGAAGACAGTCGAGTCAGCCAACATTTGCTGCTGTTTATCTTCGCGTTGATGAGGCAGGATCCGTGTCACACCAAAGTATGGATCGCGGAAAACCGAGATCCACTGGTACGCCTGATCACGAAGAACACATTCTTCAGGCTGTCGGAGACGATCCAGATATCAGCACACGTGAAGTGTTCATTGTTTTGGTGTGAGGAATCGACCCTCAAAGTTTCTAAACGTATTTTTGATACACCCTGTAGGCGATCCAGGAATTCTTCGGGTAAAAACATTTCTGAAGAGAAAAAGAAGGTATATGAAAGAGTGTATATGATATGAGAGATGTCCACAAAAGCAAAATTGAATTTAGGCCGGGAACGTCCCAACTTATAAGGAACATCAAAGACGAAAGAAATATAGTTTGGTTTAACCCCCTTTTAATCTAGAAGTGAAAACAAAAATTGGAAAAATGTTTTTAAACTGATTTATAATCACTATAATCAGGGTTGTACAAAATTTCCAATAGAAATAATGTGAAATTAAGTTATTGTACAAGCAACTTAAAAATACTATTAAAAAGCAGAATATCATGAGTTTTGATAAAAATGGCGTGTAGAATAATAATATAACTTATCACATGTGCAATTGTAGAAACAAGAATATGTACCCACTAAACGGATCATGAAAAAATGAACGTGTGGTCTACAAGACAGAGGTGGAAGATGAAGAGGACCCAAATAAAGTATATTTCGGGCGCACAAAAGGCAACTTCGAGAAAAGATCGTTTAGGATGGAAAGTTACGAAGATTGCACAAAACTGGTTAGCCATGTGTGGAAATAAAAAGAGAAATATGGTAAATTCCCTAATGTATATTGGATTAATTTTTAATAAAGCCAAGCCATATAGCATTGGTAATGTAATGAGTATATTGGGTCAGGAAGAAAAGCTACCCTATTGTGTCGTATCCAGAGCAAGACTACCTACTTAATGAAATAATGCACCTCGACAGGTGAGAACCAAAAATGGTTATTCATTTTTGGTTTTATACACCAAATCGAGGTGCAATTAAATGCACCGAAATGAGATTGCATCTTTGTAGTGAGTAAACTGTCTTTGTCTATATGAATTAATGCTGTGAACGTTAGAATTTATACATTACTTTCGTTCTCATTGCTTATATATTATATATATATATATATATATATATATATATATATATATATATATATATATATATATATATATATTGTCATCCACAGACGGACAGTTTCGCTCTTTTACAGCTCATCAGTGTGGCTAGACATCCAATTGCTTCAACCTGGGATCGAAACACGACTGATTTGGTATCAGTCGGAGATCCCATTAGGTGAAACTTAGGTAGGTTTGCCTGGCTTCTTAGGATTATCGTAGGTTTTTGTCTGGCTCCTTAGGATTATCTTAGGTTTTACTCTACTTAGTGTACTTACGTAGTTGTCTTTTTACTCGTTTTTTTTTTTTTTCTTTGGACTTGAAGCTTGAACTCTGGACGATTGTTTTTGCCTTGGTTTAATGTTCTTGGTTCTTTCTATTTTTATTCCCCATTTTTTCCTCGGGTACCGATTTGTTCTACTGTAAATCGAGCTATCCGAGATGTTTCCAAAGGAGTACCACCATTTATATATATATATATGTGTGTGTGTGTGTAAACGGGCCGTTGATGTTAAGACTCGAATAAGAGAGTAGTTGTAGTCAGAGAAATATGATTTAGATATTCTTACATGTGGGTGAGGGAGAGAAAGAATGACTATAAATTGCTTTTAGAGAGTGAATCAAATTTAATCCAGTTGAACATCTTATCAGAGTTTCTCTTCTCTATGTTCTCTTCATATTCTACGATACACTTTATCTAGTGCGTCTCTTTTAATTAGCCTCCCAATTTCTCTTCATTAATGCTTACAGCCTGACACCACAAAAAGTGTGGTTCAGCGTTTCTTTGTCGACGATCATGCAATAGCGCGTAATATCAGAATAATGAGTGAAAAGTGTATCGGTAATCGACAAGCAAAATGGAATCATCTACTGCATCATTTTCGCATTTGGGAAAGGCATGAGACCATCTCTTTCCTCTCTTTAAATTGCTGAGGAATATTGGTCTATTTACACTGTTTACATCACCCGGAATGTTGTCTTCATCTTTATTGTCATATTCATGACGCTTCTTCAGGTTATATTTCGGCCTTTATTTAGTCCACTCGAGTAGATTGTTCGAATTCCACGCCTTTGGATATCACAGTTTAGTAACTTGACTCGTCAAGTTACCCCCGACCCTTTGCTGTTGAACTCACAACTCCTTGGGTTACTTCAACAAACGTTTTGTATCCACTTGTGCCCTTGGGGACATCAATGTGTGAATTTGGGGGGATTTATAAACCTAATATCTTAGTAACCATTTTTGTTTACCAGAGCTCATATTACATGTTTTGTTTGGCCGACTTAGGAGATTTTTGTGGCCTAGCAGATGCGCTGATTCCGTAAGTTTGCGTATTTTCCAGACTAATTTGGTCTAAATGAAGAGAAATATCTTATTTGTATAGATTATTAGGGAAATAATCACACATAAATTGACTAACTTAAGTTGATTTACCTCCCTTTTCACTATAGATGGGACAGGAAGTATATAAATAAATACACATTGATAATTATCATATGGTTTTATGATAACAATAAATGCACGAACACACTATACAATATTGGTTAATGTTGACACATATATATATAGTGGCCAGATGTAAGGGGTGATGTGTTACAGAAATTGTCTGAAAGCCATAACTCGGTTCTCCTGCTTGTATGTTATGGTTCAGAGTCTCGTTGCCAGATATAGTGTCTTCCAGCAGCCACCCTTCCGACGCAGGGCAGCACTCCTAACTTGGTTACGGACCTCACTGAATTGGAGGGGTCGTTTTCAATCATGTCCTGGATCTCACCAATAAATTCGGGAGATCTTTTCTTATCAGAATGATCAGAGTGACTTTTCCGAGCTGCCGTAGCTTTGTAATTACAATTAGACTCATTCAATTCTTTCCAAATCGTCTTCACTATCCCCAGATGGATATCCAAACACTCTGAAATGTTCGTATTGGAGATTCCAAAGCGAATTCAGAATTCCAAGTTTCTGGCAGAGTCATGGGGGCCTTTTTCTCACAGCCGGTGCCCAGCTGAGCCTATTATATTGTGCATTCGACAAAATCAAAAACAAACAACGCGCATGCGCTTAATTAAAAACATAAAATGGCGACAATTTACCCATCACACCCTGTAGAATTATTCAACCATGTGCCATGTTCTTCCAGGAGAACCATAAAAACAGTTTCATGATTGCCTCCTCCTAAAAATAGGAATCTTTCTGTGTAAACTGGTACAAGTGTTTTTTTTAAAGGTTCCAGAGAATTTAATTTCTTGCCATTAAGAGAATTATGAAATAAGCAGGAATCTGAAGGTGCAAGTTCAGGTGTGCAGTAGGACATCCCAGCCAAGTTGTCCTAATTTCTGCTGGGTCTGCAAGGATGTGGGCGAGAAGAGGTGGAATCATACATTTCCCAATGGTATTTGCGCGTAAGTGAAATATAACGAACCTAACTAGTATTGGAACTCGGCTCCCCGATTAAGAATTCCGAGTCGTTTTTCCATTACACTGCCCGAAGTTTACAGCACCTGGTATTCCCAAGCTGTCACCTATCTAGGTACTGACCAGGCTCGACGCTGCTTAACTTAGGTGATCGCACAGGAACCGGCGTTTCAATGTCATATGATCGTCATCCATCCCCCCCCCGCACATCCAAGCTTAAAAACCCTGGTGTTTCCATGCTGTCACCCATCTATGTCCTGAGCAGGCTCGATGTTGCTTAACTTCGGGAATCTCTTGGGAAATGGTGTTTAAACATGATGGGGCCGTATATCGTAGCACTCGCATATCCAAGCTTATGGCACCCATCTAGGTAGTGACCAGGCTCGGCGTTGCTTAACTTCGGTGATCGTACGCGAATCGGTGTTTTGTACGTGATGTGTCCATAAGTTCACTTACGAACAGTAATCTCATCTATGGCACCATCTCTATAAACGGTACACATTTTTTTTTGTTATTTGTACAGCGCTTTTTTTCTTAACCGGAAATAAGAGAGCATCAAATGACGAAAATGCATTTGAATTTTTCTGCTTTTTCACATCTAACATAGAAACCATTAAAATTTACCATCCACACACGAATAGTGTAGAGAGTCGAGCTGAAATATCACCAATCTGTGTATATGTAATTAATTTCAGTTACATCCAAACTGAAATTAAGTGTTCAAATGTCACCTCTTGACAAAACGCTACGTACTTTTCTTCTAACCCAAAAGCATTTGGAAGTAAAGTGGACAAATTATTGCCATATTTCAGGCGACACGTACTTGTTTTGGAGCTGGTGTCGCTAGCATAGATTGTCTCTATTTCCAGATTAAGTGTTGTTATTTCAAGTATTTGTTGTTCCCAAGTGCTTAGCTTTTGATGTGGTTTAATAAGTATTTCAAAATGGAAGCTTGTGTGCAGTGTTGGCAAGTGTTGTCTTCCAAACAATTTGAATCATAAGTTAGAATTATTTTCTATTTGCAGTTCCCTGCAGTTTTAAACATCCAAAAATAACTGATGCCATAATTTCTTTTGTTGTCGTATTCAGACGGGAAATTATTTGGACAATAGTGTAAATCAATCATCATTTAGGATGAAACCAAGAATATTGCTCCAAAACACAAAAGCAAAAACAAATATAAAACAACAAAAATGGATACTAAAATATTTTTAATAATTGCACTGGCAGCATTGATGATTTATTTCAATTCTTCGGTTATTATACGTCAAAAATCCACGTTGATGCAAGAAGCTTTGTAACGCTAATCTCAACAGTATAGGTGCCATAATTAATAGTTTAAAATGAGTTTGTTTTATATTAATAAGATTTAATGATTTGTTAAAATCATAAAATATTTTTTAGATTGTCAGAATTTTTGGGACATAATATTGATTTATTAATACAAGCCTTACTAATTAACTGTTGTAACCTTGGGAGGTTACTGAATAGAATAAGCACCCGAACGTTGGTAATAAACGATAATACTTAGGACAAGAACAACACATATAAGATTCGCTAGCGGCGCGTAAAAGAAGTAGTCAACTACTAGAAGTGAGTCAATGAATTCTACAATGAATCTCCAACTGCAGGATATCTACCAACCGCCCTACGCGATCAGACGTGGCACAAGGCCGAATTTAATGTGGGTGTATTCGAGCCCGTAGGATCAGCTAAAAAATGTGAATGGGGACATATCCATTATCGTCTGTAGGTATGCTACAAGATTAACCCATAGAAGTGTATTAATAGCTTTCTCTAGGATATTTGAGCATAAGTGAATATAAAGAACCTGACTGGAATTGGAAATCGGTTCTCCGATCTCCATTTCTGAACCCTCCTCCATTACACCACCCGCACATCCAAGGTTAAAGCACTTGTTATTTCCAAGCGGTCACTAATCTAGGTACTGATGATCGTACAAGAATCGGTGTTTCAGCGTGATATGGCCGTATGCCGTTTTATTATCTAGGTGACAGTAACCAAATTACAGTTAAAGAATTCAAATCACTAGCTACAGAGCCCAGATCCGACCTATATATCACAAATCACAAGTTACAGTGTCCAGATACATAGCCATATAACCCAGATCACAAGTAACAGAAACAAAATGACTGGCAACAGAGTCCATATCCCTAGCTACATAACTCAACTCGCAAGCTGTAGAAACCAAATCACTGGCTTCAGAACTCAGATTGTAAGCTACATAACAAATCACAAGCTACGGAAACCAAACCCTTCGTCAGTTACATATCCGAAATCAGTAGCTTCAGACCGTAAATAGTAATCTCTTGCTGTGGAACCCAATTTAGCGGCCAAGGAAGATAAATCACTGTTTAGAGAATTTAAATTACTGGATACAGAGCTCAGACAAGTCTCTGCAAACTCCACTTGCATATTCCAGTTACATCTTTCTAATCGCTGACTACAGACTTAATTAGTGAGCAATAAAGCCCAAATGTCCGTCTGTAGAAACCAATTCACTAGTTGAAGAACATAGACCAATGTTTCCGAGTCACGAGTAACAAGACTCAAATAACTGGCTAGAGATCCCAGGTCATGAGTTACAGTACCTGAAAATCTGGTTACATAATCCTAATCTAGGGATACAGAACAATTATCTCTGGCTACAGGAGCCTAATCTAGGGTTATAGAACACTAATGTCTGGCTACAGATGTCAGGTCATGAGAGACAGTACCATAATCTCTGGATATAGAAGCCTAATCTCAGGTTACAGAACCCTAATCTCGGGCTATAGAACCCTAATTTTGGGCTATAGAACCCTAATCTCGGGCTATAAAACCCTAATTTCTAGTTAAAGAATCACAATTTCTGTCTATAGAATACTAACCTGCGGTTGCAGAAGCCTAATCCTGGGCTAAAGAAACTTAATCTCGGGCTACATAACTTTAATCACGAGCTATATGACAATATTTTCTGGCTTCAGAATCCTAATCTCGGAATATAGAACCCTAATCTCGGGCTATAGAACGTTATGCACTGGCTAGAGAATCATCTCTGTCTACAGATACCTAATCTCTGGATAAAGAATCTCTGGTTACAGAAAATTCATCTCTAGCTACAGAAATCCTGGTTGCAGAACCCTAATCTCTGCGTTCAAAACCCTAATCTCGAGCTATAGAATTCTAATTTCTGTTCTCAGAACCATAATTTCTGGCTACAGAACCCTAATCTCGGGCTATGTAACACTAATCACTGGTTGCAGAATCCTATTCTCGGGTCACTGTATCAGTCTGGTTTCACAACCCTAATCTCGGGCTACAGAATCCTAATCTCGGGCTATAGATCCAAAGTTTCTGGTTACTGAACCCTAATTTATTCTTACAAAACACTAATCTCTGCTTGCTAAAGAACCCTAATCTCGGGCTAGAGAACCCTAATTCTTGGCTACAGAACCATAATCACACGTTATAGAACCATAATCTCTGGCTACAGAATCCTAATCTCAGCCTATAGAACGCTAATCGCAGGCTACAGAATGTTAATCTATGTACAGACAACTAATTTCTTACTACAGAACAGTAATCTCTGATAACAGACTATTAATCTCTGGCTACAGAATCCTAATTCCTGGTTACAGAATCCTAATCTTTAGCTTCAGAACACTAATCTCTGGCTACAGAACACTTATCCTGGGCTACAGAAAGCTAAACTCGGACAATAGCATGTCACCTGTCGCCTCCTACACCCGGTGTTGTAACCATGTTTAGTGGTCTAGTCTGGTGTTATGGCGACGTTTTAACCACACGAGTAACTCTGCGATGGTCAACACTGACGCTGATCCCAGCTGTTTGTTGGTCGCTGGCCGCTTCGATCCACACTAACTCTGCCCACATTGTGTTCTTGAGCTTAGAGCTGTGGAAGATTGAATGCCATATAAATCACAGCGTCGATTCAAGCCGTGGCGTCTGTAATATTAAGGAAGAAATATCCTTTTCTTCACAACTGTCATGGGTCCTTATCTATAACTACAGAATGAACCCTTCCTAACACTGTGTATACTACGCCTCTTAAGAGAGAGGGTCGAATCGAGTCGAGCCGATAGTAGCTCACTCCAAACCAGACTGACAGTCATATTAACACCTTCCGCATCTTGTATTATTATTTCGTGTAATATATCTTCGTTATTTCTACTCTTGCGTTCATGCTGTTCTTCCTTGGTCCTAACCTGGACCATAACAACAACGAAAAAATAAAACGAAAGATGTATGGGGTTAATCTTCAATTGGTTTATATAGTTTTGATACATGAAGCCTCCCCGCGTCAATCTCTATAATGACACTATGCCTCACTAAATAATTTGGATTCAAATTTTTTCGGAATTGGGAAATATGGGGGCAGGTGACGTAGATTTCAGAGGCACTCGATACGGGGGTTCCTGCTTAAATCCTCGAGCTCCCAAAGTCACCTGCTTATATGCACTTCGACCCAAAACTGGCCTGGGACCGAGGACTCCGCATTAATTTTCCCATTAATATTAATAAGTGTCCTTGTTCTCTATTTCTGCGTTTTAACTTTATATATTTGGAGAATCATCCACCTTCTCGCGAATAGTTACAAGTATTGCTCCGCTTCTAACATCTCACCCCACCCCTCCACACAGGCGGCGCTAAATCTTTCCTCCCTTCTCGGCATTCTACTTCAGGCCGGTCCAACTGTGTCACAAATCTAATTTTCAAATCGTGTGGTCGAAAGGGCGCAGTTTATTCTAATCATTATTTTTAATTCTTCTGCCACTTCCAGGCAGAGATAAAATTATCTTTCTGTTGCCTGACCTACCAACGTCCAGTGAAAACACAAACCAGTTTCCCCTGTCGGCAATTACAGGATCTGTTTTCATAACTTCGACCCTCACAACGGGCGCGCTCTTTGTTTTCATTTCCCAATTCTTTTTCGCGAACCAAAAATGTATTTGTTTGCCTAAATTCTCAAAGAAGAGATAAAATTGTTCTCCAAATCTGTTTTCATCAGCATGACAATATGTTGATAGATGAGAAAAATAAACTTTAGGAGAGAAGTAATCCAGACGGTCCCATTTTCACCAAGGGAAATATCTCCACACACACACACACACACACACACACACACACACACACACACACACACACACACACACACACACACACAC